GACACCTAGGGAAAACTTTACAACCCTGATCTCAAAAATAGAAGTAAACCACAGACTTTCCACGGTACGGTTCGTGTTTCGGTATCAAATAAAAGGAACAAGTAGTGCTACAAAGAGAAAAAAGAGGCGTTTTCATATGAAAGCGAGGGGTTGGGTAGCTCTTATTATGTGAGTTGTGGTTCCTATAAGAAGTTTTCTCATCCCTTGAAAGAAGAACTTCAATTGTTTTGCCCCCGTTACCAAAGAACAAACATTTTGGTGGGGATGACGGCGTCCCCCCCGGAGAGGTGGGGAGGGGGGCAGGAACGGCCGGCTGCGTCACAGCCACCACGGGCAAGCAGATGAGCAACCAGCTTGCCAATTTGTGAGCCCACAAAGGCAGAAAAGGAGGATTAATGCAGGCAGCACAAGCGCTAGCACACTTCTAAGAGGAATTAAAAAAAAAAAAAAAATTATTTAAGCGGAGGGCCGGGGGGAGACTAACGATCCGCCGCCGGATTTGTGGCATCTCCCACTTCAAATGGAATCTGCTCGGCTTGGAGATACGAAGCGGTGACTCCCATCCTCGGCCGAGCAGTTCACCTTACGGCCCCGAGCCGATGAGTCCCCACTCAGCTTCTGCAACCCAAACGTGGGCAATTTTAGCGATAAGCCAGAACAAACCCTGGTTTCTCCTCCCAAGGCCGTGCTGGCTCAGCACAGCTAAGAGATATAAACCATTAAATTCTTCACTAAAATAGGCAAGGGAAGAGGCACCAAGTGGGTACAGTCTATGCACGATGCATGAATTTGAATACAGGAACTTAAAGACATTTCTACATTGATTATTTCTGGTAAAGTGTGTGGGGAGGTATTATCTGCTTTCCTTTTTTTTTTTTACCTTTCCTAATGTATTTTGTGCATCAAAGCAGTTTTAGGGTTAGAGAGGCTTGGGGTAGAAGCAACACAGCAGATAAAAACGTCAGTGGCAAGATACGACAAATTTATAGTAAATACTTGCCGACTGCTATTTATCTAAATTATCCAGCTCTGGGATTCTCCGGCAATACTTCATCAACCAGGAGGCAGCTACGGTTGTAAGCCCGTATTTACAGCAGAATCTGCTCTCTTCTTCTTTTTTTGGACACTTGTTCTTTACCCTAACATGACCCCTTTGTAGCTCAGATCAAAGAGCTGGGAGTGTCAATACCAGTGTCTTCATGAACATGTTAAGAACCTCAAAGTAATTGGTAACCAATTAGCATAAAGCTAAAAAAACCCACCTAGTTGAGGCAAACCCTAAATGAGTACCAACAGGCAGCAGCGCCAGCTGAAGCAGGAGCTTAAGCAACTTAAATCACCGTCAGCCGCCTTGGAGACAACTTCTTGGGAGCACCCTTCATGCGAACCACTCTGACTTTTTGGGGGGGGTTTGTTGGTTTGTTGTGTTTTGGGGTTTTTTTTAATTCCTTTCTGTTCTTCGTTCGCTCTTTGCTTTCTGCCTTGCTACGGCTTACGGGAAACATAAAACAAAAACTGCTTTTCATTTTATGTTATGTAAAGCAAGGCAATTCCATGTCTTGGCCTTGAAAGACAAGGCACCCAACAGCTGTTCAGATGCTCCGGCAGATAAACCATCTGGCCCAAACCTCACCTTTCCTAATTTCTTTTGGACATCGATCAAAGCAACTCCGAGCATTACATAGACTTTGGTCAAAGACAACATAAAAGATAAAAACGTCAATAGCAAAATCACTCCACTGAAATATCCTTGTTTCTTCTTTATATAATAACATCACCATTTTCAACAAACTTCTCTATTAACTCAAGGAAAAGATACACCCGATACCAACAGCCTAGCAGCCCAACCCCGCTGCAGATGAACGTCCTTAAATAGCACATCGCTGCTGAACAGAAACTGAGCGGGGTTTAGCGTTTACGATCAGCTAAAACTAAGACGTGGACTTTGGCCAACTGACCAAGGAGACCAGGACAGGCCCCAAAACTCGCGTGTCCTGGCCCTGCTGCCAGCTCCCCCCTTATCCCTTTCATATGATGCTCCTGGCGTCTGAAAAACCACCATATCCATGGTTCCACTTAGTCTTGGTTTTTAATTTTCCTAGGAAAAGGACAGCACGCGTTTCTCCACCATCACCACGATTCCCACCGAGACACTGAGGCTGTTCAGTGGTTACTGATTCGTACCAACTCAAAACCAAACCTGGCATCCGAAAAGCCTTTTTTCATGCCGTTCAGAGCACATTTGCTGCATGCAGAGGCCACAGGCAGGGTAAGGACTTGTTCTAGGCACCGGTTAGGGACACGGAGCCAAATCATGACATCAAAGGGTTATTTGAGCAAAGAAGGGTTAGCCGTGTGTACGGTTCCATGTAGAATACACAAATACACTCTTGTGATGTTTTGTTCGATATCTGCAGATATTCAAAGCCTCCCCTACGCCCATTTCTTCCTCAAGACACCGTCAGCCGGCCCGTTTCTCACAAGAAAAGGAATCGCCGATGAATAGTCCCATAAAGCATCCCACCAGAGCCTGTCCTCCCCGGAGCCGCCACCACGCCAAGGTCCAACTCTCAATTAACCCCCGCCTGACCTTCCTTCACTTTCTTTCCCCCTCCTCTGCCCTTCCTGAGAAAGTTCAGCGTTTCCTGGAAAAGTCTCCCTGCCTGTTTGATATTGTACTTCGCCTTGGTTGCTGAAGGAAGGATTTACAGGTGCCTGGCCCCCTCTGCAAGACCATGACCGAAGGCTGACCTCCCGTTACAATATGTGAACTTCTGCCCTGCTGATAAGGCTGGCAGATACGAGTAGGATTTTTCAAATAATCCTTTGGGAATTTATAAGCAGCACAGCCATAAAACCGAGGTGACTGGAAGGTCGATTTCACTAAAAATAATAAATATCTCAATGTTTATTCAACGTGGGCCTTTTTAACTGCAGGCCAAGCATTTAGATAACGCTATTGTAAATGACAAATATTAGGATTTTTTGGTAACTATTACATTATGATCCTTCCGTCTGACACTGATGTGGCCGTTTCCCTCGACGCTTGCTGGATCTCTGACATTGTTCAACCCAAGCTGGGCCTAGAAAGCCAGGGCAGGATTCAATCACGGGTCAGGAAAAGGACAATTTTCTTTTCGGGAGCCTTTACTACGGTTGGTTACCTTTTTCTCTTGCTCCCATCTCACCAACACACCTTTAGAGCTCTGCTGTATCTTTTTTTTCTCATTACTAGGGCTTTTGGCTGAAATAGAGGAGGAGTAGGGGGAGAAGGACTGGAGGATCTCGGCTCAGGATGGGGACAGAGGACGCTAACCCAGCGGCGTGAAACCCCTGCACCAGGTTTAACCTCACCATCCCCAAGTCCCCTGCGCTCTTCCCACCTCCAGCAGAAGACGACCCCGTCCAGATCCACTGCAGAGCCACTGGCCGTAAACCCGAGTGCTTCCCCAACACGTTTCGGAGGACCAGTTGCTGTTTCACATTAAAAAGTAAAGCAAGAAGACAACGACAAAGCCCCAGTGTAGAAACCAGACCATTTCAAATGTGCAAAACTATTACATCCACCAGCGAGGGCTCTTCATCCTTTTCCTAACAGCTTTATGCATAAATACGCAATTAAATAGAAAATAGATAGCCTTGCGTTAACCAACTGCACGTAAGCTGCACAAATAGGGTTCCTAGCCCTGTTCTCATTACACATCTTCTCCACTGAAGTTGCTCCAAATCAAGTGATGCTTTGACATCCACGAAGCCTTTCAGACCAGTTGTAATCTTCAATTAGCCCAGTCCTTGAACCCGGCTCCCAGCGCTGGGTTTGAGGAGGAGGTTTTTGTCCAAGATAAACAGAGTAACACATTTTGGGTAGGTTAACTTTTTCGTTCCAATAAAATATCGTGGCAATGTAGCTAAATTACATAATTAGTAACAGATGAGGGCACAAAAAGATTTTATATAAATGTTTTTTATGACAATTCTTTTCCTTTCGCAAATCCGTCTGTATGTATTGCTGGAGAAGCTCGCTTTAGAAGTGCCTTAAAAACAATTCTCTCTCAAGCCTGGCTCCGCCGTGGAAGGGGAGGAAAGCTGCGAACAGAGTGCTCCTTTCATCTGCTGCCTGGGCTTCAGATTGCTCAACCGCAGGAGAAGAGCCCTCTGAAAGCTCCCTCCCTCCCCAGGATGTTAAAGAACGGACTCAAACAACACAGGTTCGTTGGGTCCGTAGATACAAGGCTCGTACGCTGCTGGAGGCATCTTCGAAATGAAAAGTTGAAGGGTAAGCTACAAAGGGCATCTTACCTGCCTCCGTCATAAATAAATAAGTAAAAAAATCAATACCTTACGTATTCATACTACCCAGGAGAAAACTCAGCTCACCTAGCAGCTCCATCAGCGGAGACGGGAGCTCTCTCGAAAAGTTCTCAAGAGCGCGACACGGTCCCGATAACCAAACGCCAACACACAACAGGTTCGGTTTGGCCGCGTTTTTCAGGGCACGCAAAGCTCAGCTTGTCGGGAAACGGGGAGCGATACAGCCAAATGGTGGCTTTGGCGGGGCGGCAGCAGATCTGCTCCTGTCAAACGATGCTTGAAGAGCAGCAAAGTTCCCCCACGCGCAGCAAACGCCACCTTTAAAACCAACTTCCCCCGCCCCGCGCCGCCGCCATTTGCATTGAATAATGAAGCTGCTGTGGTCAAAGAAGAATTCTCGGAGGAAAACTCTCTGACCAAGAAATAGGTGTATTATAAACAGTTGGAGAAAATATCCCTTTACATTTCTGCGGCCTGCGTGAAGTACCTATGCGGTTTTTATCCAAATCCATCCAGCACTGGCCTGTTCTCTACTTCAGGCAAGGCGCTCCCCAACTGGGTGAATATTAATAAAGGTTTTGCAAGCACCTCTTTCCAGCAGCATGGATGGAAGAAGCAGACCCCCTCGCCATCTTTAAACCACAGCCCAGTGTCTGCAGCAGTCTCGTGGGCAGCACAGAGTCACTCACCAAGACAGAGTATATGTGCAGGCATCGGTACACCGGTGAGAAGTCCACCAGGTCCTGGGCCCCAGGCACCTAAAAGACAGCAGGAGATCAGGGTGAACCATGCAGAACCCATATAGGTAAGCGCAACGCTACTATAGCACGTATAAGTCAGCGAAATTCCAATGCACGCGAGCCCGACGGAGCGCGACACCCCAATTTCAGGTACATAACACTTAGAGGGATCACTGGTATCTACCTATATCTGACCATATTTACGTTTTTTAACATTTCTTGGAGTAGGAAAGTTTCATTTAACAGCGCTCTCGCTCCATTTGCACTCCCCTAGGGAATCACATTGCAACATTTGGCCCTCTGTTAGCCAGCTCAGCAGAGATTTAATTTTGAACATAAGCTTAAATACAAGTTCAAGCATCCTGGCACAAGTTGTTCTGGTACTTATGCAACGGAGGGGGGGGGAAGTTCTTATTCTCTAGATTCCTAGCCTGATTTCTTTAAAAGCACAAGTTCTGTTGGTTTGTTTTTTTTTTATTTTATTGTTTTTCTTAAAAAACACGAGCCACAAAGACTCCACCACCTTTCAACAACACAGTGAGTCTTGCACAGGGACGAGGAAGCGCATTTTTGAAGGGTGGGACGGAGGGAGAGGGAGGGCGAGAGGAAAGATCAGAGGAGACATTTGCATACAAGAAGTTTGTGTCCTTTGGAGATGCACAAGCCAACGCAGTTGGCCAAGGCATAAAGCTAAGGCAACCCTCCTTCTCCCCCAAAATCCAGAGAGGAGGGGAGTGTTCTGTTGACATGTGGTGGAAAAAAGGGGAGAAAGATGAAAGGCACCAATGGACAGGCCTGGGAAACATGTTTATTTTATGTATTTTTAATTATGCTTAAGAGGCATTGCTGCTAAAAAGGAGGTAGGATGAAGAGAGGAGTTTCTAGCTGCATGAGGGTACACAAGCCCCAACCAACACTGCCCGAAGCACCTGGGACCAGCGGTCCTCCTCATCTAAAGCAATGGCTTCAAGCAGGGGAGCGCAGAAGTTATGGGCTGGGAAGGGAAAACGGGGGATTTTGTTAAATAGCCTCTGTATAAAGCGGAACTGGAGCTGTTAAAGAATCCCCTCCATGCAAAGAAACTCAGTCCTCAGTGCTGCACAGGTTCTTGGTTAGGGCTGAAACAACGAAAGAAGCCACGGAGGCAGGCAGAGCGGCAACACGCGGCGTGGGAGCATCCCATCCCGCATCACCCGCATCGCTCCAAGACCCCCAAAAACCTGACGGTCCCAACCCAGTGGTGCAGGGAGGGGAAGCAGCTGATGGGCTCAGCAGGGACAAGGCAGCCAAGAGTTTTACTGGGGTACGGCAGGAGGCTGCTCATCCATCTCACGGGGCTTTCCCTCGCCCCAAGCGCTCCATCGGGCCGTTTGAGCCGCTCTCCCGGGCGGGCAAGGTTGGCTCCCCAGGAAGGAGGAGCGTTCCCCAGTGAGGGATGGGGTTGGCATCGCCTGCGCGAGCCTTTCCACCTCGAACCCGTTCAACACGCCCCAGCAGAAGGGTTACAGTCAACCGAAGGCAAGCAGCTGTGAAGCACAGCTCACCGGTCTCACCAACATCTCTTACCCTTTATAAGACTCTATTTGACAATCGCAAACACTAGGCAACAGTTTTATTGCGTTAATGCCAATTTTATCATGCTTTCCTGGGCATTTATTTTCCATTTGCTGTCTCCCGGGCCTTCTAATGCTCCCTAAATAGCTCCCAAGTCCAGATTTCAGCTAGTTTGCAGACACAGATTTTGCCTTGCTGTATTCCTCCAGCATTAAGCGTTAACTGGTCTCCAGTTGGTCAAACAAGTAGAACGCTTCTGGCCCAGAAATCCCCGACTGCAAAACCGCTGGAGATGGCTGAAGCAGACAGGGAAGCATCGGTACTCGCTCGACCCAGCCATCCTCCAGCGACCACCATGGGCGTGGGGAAGCCGGACTGGATGGACCCGAGTCCACCCTGTGTTTTTCTAAGGGAGGAGAAATCTGTCATCCCTCCACCACAGCATCAAAGCAGGCGATGCTTTCCTATGAATTTGAATTCCGGATCAAACGGTTTTGCTCCTCGTGGATTTGGGGGACTAGTTGAACGTGGTCCACGGAGAAATATTTCTGATAAAGATTTGTGAAATCAGGATGTTGCCAAAAATGGAGTTTACTCCCCCAGAGAAATTCTTTCAAAGCAGACTGCAACATTTTCACAGTCTCTGATCTTCTGTAAAAACTTTTAAGCCCACACACACACACTCACTCAAAAAAAATTACGCTGGGCTATTCTGCAGAGTTAACATCTCTGAGCCATGAACAGCTTGAAAACTGCTAATGCAGGTAGAACGCTCTCAGACATGGAAGCGCAAGTCCTGGCCCACAAGAAAGCTTTTTGCAAACAGAAAGAGCCCCACTCCAAAAACTGTGTTGGGATTTCAGGCAGGGTATCGACCTACGACATGTTTTAAGAAGAAGAACAGCCCACCTCATCCACAGATGGCCACAGCCCTACAGAGGGAGAAATAATCATCCCATTGTCTGAAATCTTTCCAGATGAACCAATGTAGGCGTCTGAACGTACAGACTATAAGAAATGATCATAGAATCACAGAATCATAGGATGTTTTGGGTTGGAAGGAACCCCCAGAGGTCACCCAGCCCAACCCCCCTGCAGGAGCAGGGACATCTCCAACCACATCAGGTTGCTCACAGCCCCGGCCAACCTGGCCTGGAACGTTCCCAGGGATGGGGCCTCCACCCCCTCGCGGGGCAACCCCTGCCAGGGTTTCACCACCCTCACTGGAAAGAATTTCTTCCTTAGATCCAGTCTAAACCTACCCTGGTTTAGTTTAAAGCCATTACCCCTTGTCCTGTCACAGCTGGCCCTACTAAAAAGCTTGTCCCCCCCTTTCCTCTGGGCCCCCTTTAAGCCCTGACCGGCCGCACTCAGCTCTGCCCGCAGCCTTCTCTTCTCCAGGCTGAACACCCCCAACTCTCCCAGCCTGGCCCCAGAGCAGAGGGGCTCCAGCCCTCGGAGCATTTTAGTAGCCCTCCCCTGGCCCTGCTCCAACAGGTCCATGTCCTCCTTGTGCTGAGGGCTCAAATGATCTCTGCGGCTAGTTTAACCCGTTGCACAGTTTAAACCTATCTGATGTTTACATATTTAGATGTTTATCTAATATTTAGATAATCTAAAAATTCAGGCTTGGCACATCCCCTTTCGCAGTCACTTGATTGTCTCGGTCAAAGCTGCCCCGCCAGTGTTCAAAAAAATAAATAACTCTTTGATTTTTGAAACTTGACGATGAAATGAGAACTAGAGCCGCCTCAACAACGGGACTGATTATTCCCCTGACGTCTCCCCTTCAGCCTAATCTTTTTTTGCTTCTGATTTGCAGAACAAAGAATTTATTCATCTTATCCAAAACTTTCCCAGTCCACAAAACATCAGCTTCACAAACCTCATTCCCAAACCCTGCATCCGGCACGTTCCCGGTGCCGGGAGCAGCAGCAGACCCGTCACTCTCTGTACACAGCCAAACCCTCTTTCTTTGAGAACATTTTCAGTCAGGTTAAATGTTGCCTGTAGCAAATTTAACCCATGGAAGCCAAGTTTTCAGTGGAAGTGTTCCACGGTAGCTGCCACCAACACAAGGCTGGCCCAGAGTTAAGGGATGCTCTGATCTGGCTTGAGATAAATCTGCGATACAGTGGCTCGAATCGCGGATCCCTGTTGGGTTTTGTTGTAAAGACACGAGACAAGCACAGATACATTCGCCCCTCTTTCAGTGAGGGGGTAAAAAAACCCCTCCAGACTTAAACACCTGGAATTTAGGGATGGTTTAGTGGTGGGATGGCAGGGTTAGGTTAAAGGTTGGACTCGATGATCTCAAAGGGCTTTGCCAACCAAAGTGATTCTATGATTCTATGAATTCGAGAGAGGTGCTTTATGAACCATCTCAGGGGCCCGCTGATGGACATCAATGGATGAGCTGGTGCAGAGGAACATGAGCACACACAACACTGCACCCGTAGAGGCTCGAGTCCAAGGGAGGACCCGGAGCGGGCTGGGTCTCTTCACCTGATGCACACATAGTGGAAAGCGACCGTTCACCTGAGGGAGTAAAACTCTACTGCTCAACGTAGCGTTGGTTCTGCACTGCGTCCAGCTCAGGGGTCCCCAGCACAGAACAGACAGGGACCTGTTGGAGAGGAGGCCACAGAGATGGTCCCAGGGCTGGAGCCCCTCTGCTATGGGGCCAGGCTGGGAGAGTTGGGGGTGTTCAGCCTGGAGAAGAGAAGGCTGCGGGCAGAGCTGAGTGCGGCCGGTCAGGGCTTCAAGGGGGCCCAGAGGAAAGGGGGGGACAAGCTTTTTAGTAGGGCCAGCTGTGACAGGACAAAGGGGGATGGCTTTAAACTGAAGCAGGGTAGGTTTAGACTGGATCTAAGGAAGAAATTCTTTCCAATGAGGGTGGTGAAACCCTGGCAGGGGTTGCCCAGAGAGGGGGTGGAGGCCCCATCCCTGGGAACGTTCCAGGCCAGGTTGGCCGGGGCTGTGAGCAACCTGATGTGGTTCAAGGTGTCCCTGCTCCTGCAGGGGGGTTGGGCTGGGTGACCTCTGGGGATCCCTTCCCACCCAAAACATTCTATGATTCTATGATTCAACAAATCTCATCTCATCTCTTTGGGTACCAGCAGCCGGGAAGCACATTACTCCATGCTGAATGGAGCTAGAGAGTAAGTTTGCTACATCTTGTGTGGTCTTGGTGTCCTTTGACTGCCCCAGAGTGCCCCATGGCTTAACCTTAGGGGGAAAAAAACCAACCCTGAATGCATTTGCACAGTCAAGAGGATGCTCAGGGTACTGTGATATTGGCAGTGGCCAGATGTTCCTGCAGACTAACTGACCTCACTCTGGCTCACGTTAGAGACAACAGGCAGACAGCTTTGTCTGGAAATAAAGAAGTTTCTCTCAGCGTCCAAGGTGGTTTTTGCATAATTACTGGTGGAAGCAAACAAAAGGTGGAGGCTGATGGCACCTGACAAAGCCATTTATCAGGGAAAGCGAAGAGAGCTCTCTGGGTTCCCCGCTCCAGCTCCCAAAACTTTGTAAGGAATCTATTACACTCACTTTGAGAATTACAACGTACTCCTACAGCCAGGGCAACCTGAAAGAATGCCAGAAGCATGATGAATTTTGGCTACACCTCACACCTGCTAAAGTCGCGAGTGCCAAACTCCTTCTCCAAATAGAAAACTGTCTGGAATTTGTTGGTTTGTTCTTCAAAGACAGTGGAGTGGCCCTTATTCTGAAGCGTGATGTCCTTCCTTAAAATTTCCCCTCTCCCACAAAGGAACACCAGGGAGTCCAACTCAACCCAACCACTTCACAGACACCTGACCAGTGTTTTCTGGGGACAAGAAGAAACGAGGCCCAACACAGGCAAGTTTGTCCTGCTGCACTCAACAAGATTGCAACAGAGAAGTCACTGAAAATGAGAAGAATCTGGATGAGCTTTGTAGTTTTCTGGATGCTTTTTACTACAAAGGGAAGAGCTGGCACAAGCTGAACAGACTGCGGAGCTACTCACTGTGAAATGCAAATTCTCCTTCTGCAACTTGACATTCATGAAAATGGAATTGAAGCCTTCTCCCAGCTCGCTCTACAGCCGGGCCCGCGCCCTCGCTCCGATTATGGTGGGAGCTTCCACCTCAAAGAGGCATCTGCGTTCTAAGTGGGACAAATCTGGACCATAAGGACTCCAAACTGGAGAACACTAATGGAGTGGAGAACCACAATCTCATATTCATCTTCCTGAATGCAGTGGCAGAGCTCTCTTCTGCTCCAAGGGAGACAACGATCTACACCAGAATACCTGCAACAGTATAAGCAAAACCCTTCTGCTCTTTCTTCCTTTTCAAAGCTTTTCCTGTAAATTTTGCTGCAGGGATAAAGGGATTGCTCCATATGGGTAAGGAATCGGAACAGATCATCCAGCCTAGGTGGAGAACTCCGTAACACAGCCTGCTAAGGGCCTCAGATATTTCCTAGAGGAAAAAGAAAAAATTAAATATATATATTTACCCTGCTTTTTCCAGCCTATGCACCAGGATCATGAGCTCTCCTGCCTAAACTCAATCAGAAACACCTAGGACCACCCTGTTCTCAGTTCTGAGCAGGAACGGGTGCAAGGCGCCCTTCGTTCTTCCCTTTCTACATTCAACCAGTCATCCCTGGCTGTCCTTTCAATAGAAACCTGCAGTTACTGGTTGGCTTTATTGACTGTGAGAGGTCAAGAGCAAGAGCTACCAGTGACTCTGGATGCTTCAGGATCATTTCTTTACTGACTTTATTCTACAAGGGGCCACCTTTGCTTTCTCCAGGCTTTCTTGTTCACAGTATTCCCTATTTTCTTGAGAAATATAAGTCCCAGCAATCTTGGTGAGAGGCAGAGCACAGCAAACGACCTGTGCCCACTTGTTGCAGTACTGTCCCTCTGAGCCCAGAAAGCCTTCTCCATCGCTCCAAAACATGCAGGAAACAAGATGCAGCTCACTTGCACTCAGGACACTTAACATTAATGATTTTAAGCAACCCGGATTAACTTTGGAGACTCCAATTCCATATTAATAGTATTCCTGTGTAGATCAAGACAATCATAAGGAGAAAGAGTCACAACAGAAGATGAAAAGCTAGGACTGAATCCATCAACCATGAAAAACAATTTTGCAGTTGGCCTGTAACTTTAGAGAACCCTTACCAAAGAACCTCCTATTAACATTTAATGCACCGTACTGGTTTGGGCTGGGATGGAGTTCATTTTCTTCACTGCAGCCCATATGGTGCTGTGGTTCAGACGTGTGCCCAAATCAGTGTTGATAACGCACCAGGATTTTAGCTATTGCTGAGTGGTGCTTACATGGCATCAAGACCTTCTCTGTTTCTTCATCTGTCCTCCCAGAGAGTAGGTTGGGGCTGGGCAAGAGGCTGGGAGGGGACACTGGTGGGCCAGCTGACCCAAACTGACCAAAGGGATATTCCATACCATGCAACACATTGCTCAGGCACTGGTCTGCTGGTGGGAGGTGGTGAATGATTGCCTTTGCATCATTTGGTGGGGTTTTTCCCCTCTACTTATTAAAACTATCTTCACCTCACCCACAAGTTTTCTCACTTTTGCCCTTCACATTGTCTCCCCAGTTCTTCTGGGGGGCAGGGGGTGAGGGAGCAACTTGGGGGGGTTGGGGGCTTAGCCACTGGCTGGGGTCAACCCACTACATGCACACGATACTCCTTCAGGTTTAGAACCATGGAACTGTTCAGGTTGGCAAAGCCCTTTAAGCTCCCCCAGCCCAACCGCTCCCCTACCCCTGCCATCCCACCCCCAAACCCTGGC